ATTGAATTATTTCAATCTTTTTGTATTTGTTGAGGTTTGTTTTGTGCCCCAGTACATGGTCGATTTTGGAGAAGGTTCCATGGGGTGCTAAATAGAAAGTATGCCCTTTGGTGCTTGGGTGGGATACTCGGTAGATGTCTCTTAAGTCCATTTGATATATGGTATTGTTTAATTCAGATGTCTCTCTGTTACCTCTCTGCCCTGTTGACCTATCTAATGGAGACAGTGGCGTTTTGAAGTCCCCAATTATTAATGAGCTAGGATTAATCTGGGTCTTAAAGTCCTGTAGTAATGTTTTTATGACGTTGGGTGCAGCAGAGTTTGGTGAATATATGTTCATGATTGTAATATCTTCTTGATTCATTGTTCCTTTGATCAGAATGAAGTGGCCCTCTTTGTCTCTTCTGATTAGTTTTAGTTTAAAGTCTATTATGTCAGATATTAGAATTGCTATGCCTGCTTTTTTCTTAGTGCCATTTGCTTGGTATATTTTTTTCCATCCTTTCACTTTGAGATAGTGTCTATCCTTGAAAGTGAGATGAGTTTCTTGCAGATAACAAATAGATGGTTTTTGTTTCTTAATCCATTCACCTAGCCTGTGTGTTTTGACTGGGGAGTTCAGGCTGTTAATATTTATAGTTATTTATGAAAGATGAGTATTGAATCCTATCATTTTTATTTCTGTTTACGTTATTGATACAGCTGTACGTTTCCACAGTTATACCTTCATTGGATTTCTTTCTGAAACCCCTTGGGCACAGTCATTTCTTTCTTCAGCTCTTTGTATTGCTTCCAGAACTCTCTGAAGGGTTGGTTTTGTGGACATGAATTCCTTCAGCCTATTTATGTCATGGAAAATTTTTCTTTCCCCTTTGACTATAATACAGATTTTGGCTGGGTAAAGTAATCTGGGTTGGTATCTCTGTTCATTTAGAACTGGGGATACTTTGGCCCAGGTTCTTCTGGCTTTCATAGCTTGCACTGAAAAGTCAGATATAATTCTAATGGGTTTTCCTTTATATATGACTTGTTTCTTTTGTAGCTTTCAGTATTGTCTCTTTGTTTTGTACATTTAGTGTTTTTACTATGATGTGCTGTGGAGTGTTTCTTTTCTGGTCCTGTCTGTTTGGTGTTTATATGCTTCTTGTATTTGTATGGGCATGTGTTTCTTTAATTTTGGTAAATTTTCTTCTACAATTTTGTTGAGGATCTGGTCCATGCTATTATCTTGGGATTCTTCTCCTTTCTGTATGCCTATGATTCGTAAGTTTGGTCTTTTTATGGTGTCACAGAATTTCTCCATATTCCATTCTTGTGATTTCTCAAATTTTTCCGAATCTTTGCTTGAGTGGTCTAGCTCATTCACTTTATCTTTCAGTCTTGATACTCTGTTTTCCATTTCATTCATCCTATTGGTGAGGCTTTCTCCTGTCCTTTCTAATTGGCTTACTGAGTGTTTCACTTCCTTCTTCATTTCAGCCAGAGTATTCTTCAACATTTCTCTTTTCTGAATTCATTTAGAAGTTTATCCTTATCTTCCTTCAGTTCTTTGATTTCTTTGTGTGTTCTTTAAATTCACTGAATTCCTTTATCATGTTTATAATTGTTCTTTTCAGTTCCATGTCCTCCATTATCTTTAGGGGGTTCTCATTGTAGTCCTCTAGAGGACTGTTGGTATTTGGTGGGGTATGTTATTTTGGTTTTTTTCATGTTATTTTTTCTCTGTGATTTTGACATGTGGATTTCTTTTGTAGTTTCTGATTCTTATGTGAGACTCAAGCCTTCAAGTTTAGGTCTGCTTCTTTTCGTGAACTTTATATGTCTTTGTGGTTTACTTTTAGGGCATGAAAAGCTGGTTTGTCTAAGGTTCCAGGTCTCTCTTTTGGTTTTGTATTGGAGTGGCCAGACTGCTTTTGTTTTCAGGAGTTCTCACAGAGGCCCAAATCAGATGAGGGTCAGATGCTCTCAGGCGTTCTCCTAAGGTCTGGATCCCTCTAAGAAGGATATTTGCCTCAGGAATTTGGGGGTTGGTCTGGGCTGCAAGCTGGGTCCAGGAAAGATGGTGGTCTAGGGCACCTGGTGGCTGTATCACTCAGAGATGCAAAGGCAGATGGGGGCAGGAAGTGGCCCCAAAGGCTCTTGAGGACTGCCCTGAGGAGCTGGGTTGGTCTGGATGTAAAGGATCAGGAAGAAGTAAGGTCAGCCCCTGCTTCCCAGAAAGACGCTGGAGGGTGGTACAGGCCCAGCGAAGTAGAGGGAGGTGAGGGCGGGGCCAGGCCCAGAGTGCTCCTGGGGATCCAAGAAGGCACTGAGTTGGTCTGGATGAAAAGGATCAGGAAGCAGTAGTGTTTCCCCAGGTGTCTGGGGCCCCAAGACAAGAAATGGGACTGGACCCAAGCTAGGAGGAGAGACCAGTGGGGAAGATTTTTTTTTTTTTAATGTGTATGAATGTAATGCCTGCATTTAGGTAGGTGCACCCATGTCCTGCAATGCCTATGGAGGTCAGAAGAGGGAGTCAGATCCCCTAGAACTGGAGTTGCAGACAGTTGTTAGCCGCCACATGGGTGCTGGGAATTGAACCCATGTCCTCTGCAAGAGCAGTCAGTGATCTTAACCACTGAGCCATCTCTCCAGGCCCATAACTCCTTCATTCTTAAGAAGGTACTTGAAGCTATAAATTATTGAATTAAGCCTGGGATGGTGGCGCATGCCTTTAGTCCCAGCACTCTAGAGGCAGAGGCATGAAGATCTCCGTGAGTTCAAGGCCAGCTGATGATATAGGGAGACCCTGTCTCAAAAATGCAAATATATATATATAATTGAAATAATATTTGTTAGAGTAATTTCTAGAGTGCATAATTCCTTTACAAATCAAACAAATTTTAATGTAGGCTAATATTATCTTGTGATAAACACTCAGATTTCCTATTTTTCCAAAAAGCTCCTATAAACTGTGATGGAGGACAATGAACTTAGTGGTATAAATGTATTGACATTCACAGGAAGGAGCTGACTGAGAATTTACTTTAGTCAACATGATTCCCCATCCACCAGCACCTGGAGGCAGAGGCAGGTAGATCTCTGTGAGTTCAGGCTAGCCTGGTTTAAATAGTAAGTTCCAGGCCAGCCATGCTACATCATGATATCCTGTTCCAAGAAAACAAATCAAAAACCAAAAATCAAATAAAAAAACAAAAGTAGAACATCACAGAATTCAATCCACAGTCCTAGGCCACCAGAATTATGGATTTTCAAGTGTTCTATTGGTGTGTTTCAGGAGAGATGTTCAGGCTAGGGAGGAAGGTTTGCCTTTGGCCACAATAAGGAACTGTTAACAGGGTGCCTTAATTTTAAGCAAACCAACACTAAGCACCTTTTTGCCAAATTAGTGAGGAAACTGTATTATCTGAAGGAGCTGAGGAGCTCATTCTGCCCTGCTTGAATTCCTTAGTCCCATGCTTCAGGCTCAGCATCCAATATGATGCTGTCAGTGGAGGTGTGTTCTGGGGAGTTCCTTGTAGCTTGTAAGAACTGGAGACTCTCAGAACTTACCTCAGCCCTGTTACCGGAAAGTCAGAGACCAGCAGCCAAAGTCAGGTGAGGAGAGGGATTTAGTTTTATGCTGAAGGACTGACCCATAGATCCTTCTGTAGAGGAGCCAGTCCCCCCCTCCGGTTTTAGGGGTTTTTATATTTATGTGAGGAAATACAAGTGAAAGACAAAGCAACACATAGGTGGCAATTAAGTAAAAGGTACCTGTGATAATTAAGTAAGTTAAGGTATGGCAGCAGTGGTTACAAAGACTTCTGTCCAGGTCAACCATAGGGGGGCAGGATGGAGAAAGACTCCAGCTTATCTCCCCAGTCTTATCTGTGTCTAGGAGCTCTTCCTGCTCCAGAGTTCTTAATTACCATCACATTGCAAAAGCTTTCCACCTCATAATAGACCTACTGAGCCAGAAACTTAACTATATCAAGTGCCTTCTGTACACAGTAACTTTTGAGGACTGCAGGATTCTTCCCTAAATCGAAAGAACTTATGGGGGCAGGGGGAAATAATCCATGGAATGAATACCTTTTGTATCTTTTTAACAAAACATAAACAACGAAGGCGCAGTTTTCCTTTGGCTGTTATTCATTCAGTCATTCATTCACTCATTCATTCATTCACTCATTCAACCAACGAGCTGCCCACACTGGACTATATCTATCCCTCTCCTCCACAGCAGTGTTGCACAAGGTCGACAACTGCGGAGCTCTGTTACTTCTCTATCTGGTCCTCCAGATCTAGACAGTAAAGTTCATAGAGCTTTAGACATAAAGCTCTCTTTAGCACAGAGACATAAAGTTCAGAGAATAGAAGGAAACAGTAACAAACACTGTCCAGTCGCCAGAGCCGAGACGTGGGGTACCAGTCGTAAACTTACAGCATCCTGGCCCAGGGAAGACCTGATTCCTACACTGTCCATCCCAGCCTCGCTTCCTTCTCGCTCATCTGAACAAGAGAACTGGAGGTGAAAAGAGACTTCCCACACCCATCATGGCGGAGGCTCACTCCCTGCCCGGTGGGTTGCCATCCGGTCTCCATAGTTACCAGGCGGCGCCTGCGGAGCCTGGGCTGTTCCCGCCCCCTCGTTTTTGCGACAGTTGCATCGCACTTCACGGCAGTTGAGGCCGGTGTCAGCTGATTTACTGCGGCGGCGGCGGCGGCACCTTGCAACTCGGCGGGCGGGGAGAGGGCGGGCAGGGCGTGATCCTGGCCCAGGGAAGACCTGATTCCTACACTGTCCATCCCAGCCTCGCTTCCTTCTCGCTCATCTGAACAAGAGAACTGGAGGTGAAAAGAGACTTCCCACACCCATCATGGCGGAGGCTCACTCCCTGCCCGGTGGGTTGCCATCCGGTCTCCATAGTTACCAGGCGGCGCCTGCGGAGCCTGGGCTGTTCCCGCCCCCTCGTTTTTGCGACAGTTGCATCGCACTTCACGGCAGTTGAGGCCGGTGTCAGCTGATTTACTGCGGCGGCGGCGGCGGCGGCACCTTGCAACTCGGGCGGGGAGAGGGCGACGGGCAGGGCGTGCGGTCCCCAGGGATCACCGACCCGCGGTGGTGCCCGCCTCGTCCTCTTCACGTGCGCTCCTGGCCTTGGCTTCCCGGACCCTAGCGCCCACCATGGCTCCCACAGGCAGGATCACGGCGTGAGGTGAAGCTGTGACAGGTACGTGCTTTGCAGCCTCCCCC